ACGAGGACACGAGCCCATTGCCCTGATCGACAAAACAACATAGACCAAAAGATCGAAAGTTAACAGACTAATAGCAAAAGAAATCAATGCCTTCTACGACCCCTTCCACGAGCTCTCCCCCGAGAGGTAATCGAACGAATTGGTCTCTCACATACCAAAGTAAAGTCATTCCCAGGATCAGAGCCCCCGTAAAATTCCGGCGAAATAAAGCCACTATTCGAATGATCGAATTCCGATTCAAATTCAGACGATCCGTGCAACCAATCTACATGATTACTAACATCAAAGCCAGAGTTAACGCCCAAGAAATTCACCAAACTGAGCGTGTCCACCACTTGAACAGGGACATCAACAACACTATTGGAACACACCAAGTCACCATTCAGCTGCTCCACCAACATACGCTCAGGATTATTCACAACCGGTAAGAGGGAAGCATCAAGTTCAGGTGATATAACAGCCAGTTCAATAGAGCCAGCCCCAACCTCAATAACAGGTGAAACAGAAACCCCCAAATCAGGTAAAACAACAGCCTCAACAGATTTAACACCATTTAAAATTAGAGGAGAAATGGACTCAGTGCCCGTAGGGATAAAGGGAGGAGCATCGGGGGATAACACAGCGACATTACCAGCGTGACCATCAGACACAACATTCACAGCATTTTCCAAATTATACACATTCAAAAGGGGTAAAGTATCTGACGAATTTAAAGCAGCCAAAGGATCCATAGACCCGGAGATTCCATCCACAGGTATCGGCCATCCCCCACAAACAGAAACAGGAAAATCACCGAGTTCCAGATTCACAGCAACCGGTTCCACAGAAACATGATCAGCCATTTTAACATCATGCTCAACATTTTTAGGTAAAACAGACGTTTCCAACACAATATTTTTAGAACGACATTCACCCATCGCATGACCAAAACAGCGACAAGAAACGCAAAATGAAGGGAATTCATCCATCACGACATCCTGAACATAGCCAAGCTTTTCAGAACCTAACCAAATGCGATCATGATAGGATTTAGTGATATCAAGCTCAACTAACACCCTAGCTAATTAAAGACGGTCTAGATCCCAAAAACGTGGCCGAATCAATCTTTAGAGGTTTGCCAAAAATGGAAGCCAGACCATGGAGAATTTTAGGGGCAAATAGGTGCGGCTGTAAGGAGGGAAAAGATACCCAGATAGGGATCACCGGAGATTCAACCCCGATATCAACCGAAGGCGACCATTTCGTGAGCTTCATAAAGCAGTTAAACACCAGATAAGATCGATGACAGAAAATGCGACAATAATCAAGGTCATTTTCCAATTTGATCAAAATATGGGACGAATCCAGCAAGGTAACCGAAACTTCACCGTTTAGCTTGAGATTGAAGAAAATTTTCCTAATAGAATCAAGAGAAGGTCTCTTTGAAGGAAAGAAACCCATAAGAGAAAATTGAAAAGGCACAGCCAAAGCCAAGATTTCATCATCCGAAATCCACAATGACAGCATATCGCGGAAAGTCGACACCTTAAGTTTAGGAAAACCATTACTAGAAGAAGATCCATATAGAGCTTGAAGAAAAGAGCGAGAAGAACTCGAAACCCCTAAAAAACCAGGATCGACAAGTTTCGGAGCCATCCGGCACACGCCAGAGAGAAAAAACGGCAGCAAAATCTCAGAAACAAGACCAATAACAAGAAAAGAGATGCAAGGAAGAACTTCACTGGAAAAATGAGGCCAGCCCGCCCTCCCGCCTGCCGGAGAGCGGCGAGACGCCGCGAAAGGCAAACCCTAGCAGAGCGATAAAAAATATCGGGGGGCCGCTGATGTGCGTTGATCAAATTCTCATTTAAATCTAATAAAGAAATATAATTTCTAATATATTCTAACTAAGTCTCTATGTGGTTGTAGCTTTGATAAATAAAAAATTAAAATTTAAAATAACCATTATGTCTTTAGAAATAAATGAAACAATTGTCCAGCTATCTTATTGTCATGGTACAACAACAACAAAATCAAGTCTTTAACCCACTATGTGGTTGTTGCTTTTTCTCCATTGTGTCCCGGTAAAGGCCAAATTCTCATGTAAATTTAACAATAAAAGGTCATTTATAATATTTTTTAATTAAATCTTTTTTAATTCTATCTCTATTTTTCTTAACATCTTATTATCATGATGTTTATGATATTTATTTTTGAATATTTCTTTTATTTATATTTCACTTTAAATTGATGTGACATCTAATTCTGTTTTATTCATCATGTTATTTAATCAATCTAAAAAATTATTAGAATTGTGTAAAGAATAAAAAAAAATGAAGCCTCAATTTTAATTTTCTACAAATCTTTCTAAAATGGCACACTCTAATAAGATTATCATATTTTTTTAATATAGTCAAAAATATAATTCATTCAATTGTTGGAATAATTAGCAAAGTCATACCACGAATTACATCTGTATAAATACTAATAAAAAAAATTTGAATCCAATTCTCCCGCCCCCTCTTGATGCTAATAACATAATTATATCCACCATCGCCATTGGAACTGCCATTAGCAACAACCTCCTACAAGACCGTCACGGTGGCCTCATTCGGTGTTTCCTCCACATTCGACATGCATATCGGGCATGTCCTATGTGAAACAAACTATGAATCAATGCTTCCTGGGTGGAATGAGTGTAGGGGTGTCAATATTTGACCCGACCCGAAAATTCGATCATAAAATTTCGGATTCGGGTCAACCCGAAGCCGAACCAGGTTGGGTTCGGTTATAGATTTTGACCCGTTTGTAAAACCGAGTCAGGTTCGGGTTGACTCGGAAACCTGATATCAACCTGGTTTGACATGTTTTTAATTAATTTAAAAGGGGTTTAAAAGATTTTTATGAAATAAGTAAATTTTATTTCCAAAAATAATAAACAATGTTACCCAAATTAAATTAAGTTTGGTTTATTTTTAAATCGGTTGAAGTAAATATTATATTAAATAGAATTTATTCAAATAAGAAAAGAGTCACATAGCAAAGCCACAAAGAGGTCAAAAGGATAGTCAAAATAATACAATAATCGATAGAATACAAAGCAGTCTGAAAATAAAAGGAAAAAAAAATCCCTATAGGCTTTTTTTTTTTTTTTGAAAGTTTATTAGCCATCGGAAGCTCGGCGCCGGAGAAGAACCGGAGACGAAAAAGAGGTGGCTAGGGCATAATTTATCCCTATAGGCTTTCTTCTTGTTATTTGTTATCATTTTTACAAATAAATTGAAGTTAAAAGAAAAATATATGAACCTGCAATTTATTTCGAGCAAACAACAAATATCATAAATCTTCGTTCTACAATCATTATTATTAGCTCTATCCCAATTATTTGGAGTCAAATTTGTTTTTGGAAAAGTCCGTTTGAGGAATTATTATTTTTATTAATTATTTTGTGAAAATTTTGTATTTGTAAAACTATAAGTCTACATTTGGTTTATTTTCTATTATTTAGGGTTAGTAGTACATTTTTCTTTTTAATGTGGAGCAACGTTTATCTTTTTGATATGAAGCTCTTTTGAACGAAACACCATGCCATAATATTGTTAAAAATATTAATGAACCTCATATAAATTATAACAAGTTCATGAAATATCCCAATGTTTTAATTTATTTATTTTTGGATATTTTGAATCAATGATTTATTTAATCTTTATAATATCAGGTTGCTGGTTTGTGAGAAAAAAAAATCAGCTATTTTTATAGGAAAAAAATATATTTGTTTGTGAATTACTATAAAATTTTTTTCCTCCAATTTTTGCTAGAGTGGGCCAGTTGCTGGCCCTCGAACCAGGCTCGCATGCTTGAATATTAGATTTACTAAAATTTTCAAGATAAATACATAAAAAGATAATCAATGATTTTACGTTTAAAATTTTATTCAGAATATCTTAAAGCTATCTTACTACAACCTTGCTCATCTAGTTTGCATTCCGAATAAGCTCTCTACCTTAGCCAAGACGCAGTGGTTTAGAGGTTTGCCTTAGTAAATCCTAAGGACATCTCCAACCAAAAATTTCATTTTTCACTCTAAAATGCAGTGTAACAAAAAAATGACGTGATTCATCTCCAATTGAACTTCATTTTGCGCCCAGGTAACCGTCTTTCTCCTTCGTGCATTTCTTCCACAAATCCATTAAAGATAGAAAAATAACGCATGTGAATAGTGCAATACCAATATTGACGTCACATTGTTCACCCGCAACCAAATAACGAAAGTTTTGACATTCGGCTGGAGCTCAAGAGCAACACCATTCATGCGTTTGAAATTTGGATGGAGATGCCCTAAGTGAACTAATTGTTTGCCTTTGATGAGCAGAATTATTCAAAACTTATTTTTGGACATGAGTAATTTTTTTTATATTTATTCAAGTTGTTTATCCATTTAATTTATTCTTCTTCTAATTTCTTATAAAACTATTTATTTTAATCAATAATTTTTTTATGATCATATACTTAATATATTTATCATACGATATTTCATCACATTTGTGTGTTAACAAATTGAGGTAATTTTAAAATGTTAATAAATTCTCATAATTTACTTCATATATTTTTATGCAATGTTTAATTCACTAACCATCTTATTACAAAAATTGAAATTAATTATAATATCATTCTTAATATATTTAAGCACCTCAATGATGTCGGACTACAAAATATATAATGTTCGGAGATCATTTGATCATACAATTATTAATATCTTAAAAAATTTCTAACTATTATTTAAATGCTTTATATTTGCTCATTTAGGTGGGCATCGTATCATTTTAATGTCCGGAGATGTTCTGCTTGATTATAAATTTGTTGAAATCGAAATCATTGTCTCACTCATATAGCTTGATCACTCAAAGTCATACAACGAATTACAAATTACATCTGTGTAAAGTATGCAAACCGTATCCTATGAGATTTTTAAAATAAATACTATTAAAATAACCAGAATCCTAGCTGTTTTATGATTTTATCTACTTGGCTTCTGCCAATTCTCCCGCCCCCTCGATGTTGATAACGTAGTTATCTCCATGGCCGGCGCTGCCACTGCCACTAGCAACAACCTCCCGCAAAACCGTCACGGTGGCCTCATTCGGTGTTTCCTCCACATTCAACCTACATATCGGGCATGTCCTGTGTGAAACAAACCACAAATCAATGCATCCAGGGTGGAACGCGTGGCAGCATGCCGTCAACAGTCGGACATCATCATCGGCGGCGAAATCAGATAGGCACACGGCGCAGTCGCCTCCGTTTCTCTCCTCCAACAACCTCCTCACCTCAGCGTAGCGGAACACCGGAAAAGAAGCAATGATCGCTGGATCTAGCCCAGCCTCAGTGCTCTGAAGCGGTACCGCGCTGTTGACACCTCCTCCAGCTGCAGAACTGCGGACTGAGGAAACGAATTGAAAATTTTGTCGAAGAAAGATGATGAGGACGCCGAGGAAAACGATGAAGAGGATGATTACGAAGGGGATAAACGGGATAGAGGAGAGTGCATTGGCTGCCGGTGTCGGTGGCATGTGAAAGTTTGAGGGGGACTTTGGATCCATTGGAGTTCTTTACCGGTTAGAACGGGGATCAGCAAGTCGCCTGGACCTTAACATACCTTCAGTGCTCTTTCTTTTATATTGTAAAAGCTGATCACTACACGGCATGCGGTGGGATTTCGCTTTCTTCAAATCACTTTTAATTTCTTTAAATTAACTGTTAGACAGTAGCATGAGCAAGCGACGGAACTGAGAAACTGAGAGAGATAGAAGTGGTTGGTCGTTCTAAGCTTGATTTGTGACGGTAGGTTTTAGGGGTGAGGAGACTACTGGGAGTAGGGGTGTCAATTTCTGGTCACGGGTCGGGTTCGGGTCGAATCTGGAACTGACCCGGGTTCAAACGGGTCGACCCTAACCCGACCCGGTTAGGTAAACGGGTCGGAAATGCGAACCCGGACCCGACCCGACGGGTTTGCCGGTTGACACGAAACCAGACCCGCGGAGGGACGATCCCGCGGATGCGGCGGTACGCGGCGATAATACGGAGGTCGCGCGAGGGCGCGGTAGCGGCGGGTCGCGCGAGGGCGCGATGCGCAGGGTCGGCGGGGCTCGGGGTTAGCGCGGGCGGGGTGTACGGGCTGTCGCGCGGTCGCTTGTGTCGGCTGGTGCGTCGGTGCGCGTGGTTACCGCGCTGGTTCGGTGCGCGTCTGCAGGCCGCTCGGCAGGGGCATGACGCGTGTTAGGTTTTTTAAAACGGTGTTATGGGTAAACCCGGCAACCGCCGGTCACCGAACCCGACACCAGTTTAAACGCGGTCGAATCTCTAACCCGACCACCGACACGGTTCGGGTTTCGCGTTCAAAGACCCAACATGTACCGGAATTTTCCGGGTTTCGGGTCAATTTTACATCTTAACTGGGAGAGATAAAAAGTGGTGTCTGTGGCTCGATTGAAAGAATCGGTGGTGTAAGGCGGACACAAGGCGAGGATGGAGGCGCGATTCTTACATCATAATGATATTCATTGGATTGTAACCAGGCCTTGTGTTCACCTACCCCATCGATTCTTCATCGCCAAACACAACTTTTATCTCTCCCAGTCTCCTCACCCTTAAAACCTACCTTCACAAATCAAGCTTAGAACGACCAACCACTTTTATCTCTCTCAGTCTCCCAGTCGCTCGCGCATGCTACTGTCTAACATTTATATATATATATATATATATATATATATATATATATATATAGTTTTTGGAGAATTTTATATTAAAATGTCTTGATAAAAATAGTAAAAAAATAAAAATTTAAATTATTTAATTCATGAATAATTAATAAAAAATTATATTACATTTGTCTCAATAAATATAAATTCATTTTAAACAAAATAATTGGCCATGTATCCTACCATGATATTTTTTTAAAGATGTGATAGATCATAGATGTCTCCCTAAACTCTCATTTGATTTATATTGGGCTTATGACTTTATAACTATTTTGTATAGTAATGAAGAAGGTTTATTCTTCACTTCACTCAAAAAATGCAGCTCAACTAAGCCTATTCGTTTGGAGCTTTGATTATCAACCAAGAGGTCTTGGATTTGAGTATTACATTTACGATTATGTGTGTGAATTTTCCTTAATTGTTCTAAATGTCCCGAACAAAAAAAATTTCACCAAAAAATAAGACAAATATTGGGATAATAAATTTGTGAAACAAAGTATAAAAGAGCACTGACAACATCCCTAACTAGAGGCCTGCTTCATCTTAGAACCTTTCTACCCACACACACACCTCCCAAAATCCTCATCTCTAAACAAACCCTCCACCAAAATCTTCAAAAAAACTAAACCCTAACTCTAAACCTTAGTCTTCCAGCTGATGCGACGTAAGCAAAAACATTCTAACAAACAAATCCAATACATCATCATAAAACAAACACAAGAACTCTTAAGCCTTATTAAATAGAATTCCTTAAAAAGAGTAACAATGATTTTTAAAAGAGTCACTCACTCAAAAATATAAGGATCATAATGATAGTAAACCCAACAATAGCAAGGTAAAAAATCTTGTATGACCAACAACATAATAATCATCAAATGGAAAGGGGAAGGGGGAAAAGGAAGGGGAAGGGGGGAGGAAGGGGATGTTTAAATACCATGTTGAAAATAATAAAAGTTATATCCTTACTTGAATAATTACGATTTTTGTAAAAATATGTCTATATAAAGGCAAAAGAAGAGAGCAATATGGAAAATGCAATAAAGATGAATATTCTTAATAATGAGCATATATTACAGTAATAAATATCATAAATTCTTACTATAAATTAAAATTACAAATAATAATTGACAATTGACATGATAACATGATAACTCTAACATATAAGATATTAATGAAGATATTAATACCATAAATGGCGAGCGTGCCAATAATTATGATTATCAATGAATTATATACATTTATATTCATTTATTTTATCCAACTCATATTGGTCTACTAAACAAAGAAGTAGAGAGAATACGTCGGACGGGCACGGAGGCGCAATCGGGCTTGGCAGTCGATTTAGAGCACATAGGCGGGAGTTGGGGCAGTGGCGAGCTATGTTGGGTTGGTTTCAGGCTTGGAGAAGGAATGCAACGGGCTAGGGTTGCGACTGGGTTCAAAGTCGGAGGTGGGTCGATGAGGTAGGTTTGGTTCAGCTGTATAAATCGACTAGGTACGTCGGATGGCTGGTGGATGTTGGCTTCGGCATATGTAAAAGAGTGGATCAGAAGGGCTTATATGTTTCATGCGTACGGGACTGAGAGAATGAGAAGGATAGAACGTCTCTGCTTGAGGAGTTGAGAGAATGAGCGAGATTGCGTGTCTTCTTTCTGTGAGGTTAGAATCTATATATCGACTACAGTTGCTTTGCTTGCGGTTGAGGAACAATTGAGTGCGTCGTTTGGCAAATGTGAATCGTATGTGTAATGGGGCTGGTCTGATCATGGGTTACAAGAAAACAACACTTTCCCTCAAACTCAAGGTTCAATTATGCTCATGAACCATCTATCCTCCATTCATCATGTATTTTACTTAATTCAAAAGAAGAACGTCAAATAATAATTAGTTATGTGGAACTTGAAAAAAATGACATGGTACAAGTTGCCCTCATTGTCAAGACCAATAGGATTCAACGGCTGAGGGATAAAATAATAATAATAATAATAATAAACAAAGAAGTAGGGAGAAGATGTCGGACGGGCACGAAGGCGAGATCGGGCTTATCAGTGGATCGGGAGCACATACATAGGTGGGAGTCTGGCCGGTAGTGAGCTATGTTGGGTCAATTTCTGGCTTGGCGAAGGAAGGCAGTGGACTAGGGTTGCAGCTGGGTCCAAAGTTGAAGGTGGGTTGATGAGATCGGTGTTGTTTCACTACAGGAAATTCGGCCAATACCGGCGGCCTTGACCGACGGTTATATAGCCGTCGATACTAACAGCGGTTTGGCCGCTGGCCTAACCGGTGATTATTGAACTATAGGCCGCATGAACTAGTGGCGGTTACCGGATTAATCGCCGGACCTCAATATTACCAGCGATATACCGACGGCTACAACCGCCGGTGTTAATACCGGCAGTTATCCGGTGAAATGGCGATGGTGTTGACCGCCGGTAATACCGTCGGCAGGGACCGCCGGGTAACTGCCGGTGTTGTACCGGCGGTTTACCGACGCTTGCAGGCAGTTATTTGACTGCACGCCGGCTGCTCTAACCGTCGGGATGCTGTCGGTGAGGGACCTCCGGTTAGCTGTCGGTAATTTCTCCGGCGGCTTAACGGCCGGAACGCCGCCGGTTCTAAATCCGGCAATAACCGGCGGTATAAGCCGCCGGAAATCCGTCGGGAAAAAAAATCCGCCGGAAAAATGCCGCCGGCAACGGTTTCCTACACTGTTTTTTCCGGCGGTTTGATAACCGCCGAAAAGCCACCGATTTTTTTAAAAATCGTCGGTTTTATCAGTCAAGCCGTTGGTAAAAACCGCCGGTATCGAACGAATTTCCTGTAGTGTTTGGCCGTGCATAACGACAAGGTCGGACAGTTGGTGGATGTCTGCTTTGGCATGGTAAAAGGGTGGATCTCGAGGGCCTATATGTTTCCTGCGTACGGGATCGAGAGAATGAGAGGGATTGGATCTGTCTATTTATAGAATTAAGAGAACGAGCGAAATCACATGTCTTCCATCTGTGAGAGTTAGAATCTATATATCCCCTGCAGTTTATTTGTTTGAGGTTGAGGAACAACTGAGTGCATCATACATAAATTTTTTTTGAATGAATTTAAAAATAATTTGTTTTGTTTAGGAAAATGTATTCTTAAAAAATAAAATGTAATGTCATATATTTTAGATAGAATAATAATAAAATATATATATTTTTTAATTATATTTCATAATTTAGAAACAACCAAATGAACCTCAGGTTAATTATCCATGGTTTCCACAATTTGTTAGAAAATCATAGATGCCTAAGAAACACAATATCAAAAAAATTAGTAATTCATTTCTGAACTATTTAGTTTGATGAAAAATATGTGTAATGTATTGTCAATGCTGAGGTTTTAAGAATTTTGATGTTTAATTTGATGATTAATCTCATGAAATAAAAATGTAGAGTAAAATTATATTGAATTCTATATTCATTTTCTTGTTCTTTTTCATCCATTTAGAACTCATCTGTTTTTGGTCTAATTCAAAATATAACACAAGTTAACTACGCTCTTGATGTTGGCTACTGCCCATAATTGCTGTCGGTCGCTCGCCACCCAGATCGTCCGCCACTCAGATCGTCCGCCACAATCCAACGGACATCACTATTGTTAAGCTGTGCATTGCATTTGTTTTAGTTCTAACTAAGTAAAAAAAAAGTTAACAATATCCATTCATTTAACACTAGTTCTTTTAAACATTTCAAATACGTTACATTTGTTTTATACCATATGTCTATATTTTATTTTACTCTACTCTTTTTATCTCGAAACAAATAGCCCCTTCATTCTTTTTTGATTCATAGTTAAGTTGGAGGGAAACAAAACAAATTCTAAAGCTTTGTAACAATTTTTTTTCCAATCAAATAGAACAAATACAATTATGGACTACTGGACTAATTACATAGTAAGGGCATCTCCAACCGAAACTCTTATTTTTCACTGCAAAATGCAGTAAAATCAAAAAGTGCCGTGATTAATCACGAGTGGAACACCATTTTGCCCCAAAATCATCGTCGTTTCTTTCGCACCTTTCTCTGATGGAGTTCGGTAGAGAGAAAAAAAGGCGAAAGTGAACAGTGCGACGCCAATATTGACGTCGCACTGTTCATAAGCGACTGGATGCTGACAAAAATGGAGTTTGGTTGGCACGTCTGAGGCTCTCCATTCGCCTGTTTGCGGAACGGCTGGAGAAGGCCTAATGCGTCAAATTACTGCAGTATAGCGTAGGCAAGCTATATCCCAGAAGTTCTTAAAAGAAATCTGCTTCCGAAAATATTAAAAATAAAAATAAAAACTGAATATTAACAGCTAATTCGACTGTTCTATTGACCTGAACCTTAACAGTTATATGCACATCCTAAAGTTCCTCTCTACCGCGCTCCCTTTCATCGCTAACGTGTTCCCTGATCTCCATCCCCTCCCCTGCCGCCCCTTCTCCTTCACCGTCAAATCTAATAACATGGTAATCTTCGCCGCCGTCGCCGCTGGCAACAACCTCCCGCATAGCCCTCACGGTGGCCTCATCCGGCGCTGCCTCGAGATTAGACCGGCATAACGGGCAGGTCCTGTTCGAAATAAGCCAGGAATCGATGCACCCCGGGTGGAAAGCGTGGCAGCATACCGTCAACAGCCGGATAACATCGCCGGAGGCGAACTCCGATAGGCACACGGCGCACTCGCCTCCGTACTTCCCCTCAATCAACCGCCTCACCTCCGCGTAGCGAAACATAGGAAAGGAAGCAATGATCGCCGGATTTAACCCAGGCTTATTGCTCTGCAGCGCCATCGCGTTTCCGCCGTCGCCGCCGCGAGCGACGGAATTGCGGATAGCGGAAAGATAGTAACGGAGGTCTAGGAAGACGAAGATGGAAAAGAAGCAGAAGAGGAGGAAGCAGAAGATGAAGAAGGGGAGGAACGGGAAGGTAGATGGGGTATTAGCCGCCGGAATCGGCGGTGCGAGGAAGCTTGAGGGTGATATCGCCGGATGCATTGGACGCCGGCAGGAATTGGGAAGCTTAGCATTGATCGATGGCCTTTGTATCGTTCTCCCGCGATGGTTGGTTCTAAGCTTGATTTGTCAAGGTGGGTTTTTGGGGTGAGGAGAATGGGAGAGATAAAAGTGGAGGTTGTTGGCGATTGAAGAATCGTTGGGTAGGAAACACAAGGCGAAAGATGGAGGGCGAACGGTTGCAGCCAGCCGTGGAAAGGCAATCTTTTCGCCGGTTTAGTTTCCTTCCGAGTTACTAATTTAATACTTTTTTAAACAAATTAATTTTTGGTAGAAGAGATAAAACTTTTGCTGCGGATATTCTGAATAAAAATTTAAACGTAAAATCATTAATTATCTTTTTATTTATTTATCTTTAAAGTTTTAGTATATTTAATATTCATTATAATAAAAAATTTGAAAACTTTTTAATAAAAATATATATTTTTTGTTTTAGGAAAATTTTGTATTAAATTATCTTGATAAAAATAGACAAAATTAAATTTTAAATTATTTAATTCACCAATAATTAATAAAAATTTATATTACATCTATCTCAATAAAATTCATTAATTCTAAATAAAATAATTGGCCATATATCCTATCAAGATATTTTTTTAGATGTGATAGATGTCTCCCAGACTCTTTCACTTGATCTATATTAGGTTTGGGACTTTATAACTATTTCGTATATAAATGATTAAAGCTTATCCTTCACTTCACCAAAAAAAGACAGCATATCTTAATTTGTTGGTTCGAAGCTTAGACAATCAACAAGAGGTTTTCTATTCGAATAATATGTTTATGATTTGTGTGTGTGAATTTGCTTTAATTGACATAAATGTCTCAAACAAAAAAACTTCACCCAAAAATAGGACAAGCATCAGGATTAGGGGTGTCAATATTTGACACGACACGAAAACCCGACCCGATTTCAAAACGGGTCGGGTTCGGGTTCCAGATTGACCCGTTTGAAAAACGGATAATAAATTTGTGAAGCAATGAAAAAAAAAAAAAAAAGAGCAGTGACAATATCCCTAACTAGAGGCATGCTTCATCTTAGAACCTTTCTAACCCCACACATACCTCCCTAAATTCTCATATCTTAAAGAACTCTCCACCATTACCTTCAAAATAGCTAAACCCTAACTCCAAATCTTAATCTTCCGCCTCATGCAAAGTAAGCAAAAACATTCTAACAAACAAATCCAATACATCATCATAAAACGAACACAATAACTCATAAGCCTTATCAAATACAAATCCTAAAAATGAGTAACAATGATATTAAAAGGATCACTCACTCAAAAATATAAAGATCACAGCGATAGTAAACCCAACAATAGGGGGAAGGGGGAGGAAGGGGATGTTCAAATACCATGTTGAAAATAATAAAAATTATTACCTTGAATAATTTGCAATTTTTGTAAAAATATGTCCATATAAAGGAAAAAGAAGAGAGCAATAAGGAAAATACAATAAAGATGAATATTCTTAATAATGAGCATATATTATAGTAATAAATATCATAAGTTCTTACTATAAATTCAAATTACAAATAATAATTGACATGATAACTCTAACATATAAGGTATCACTGTAGATATTAATACCATAAATGGTGAGTGTGCCAATAATTATGATTAACAATGAATTTTTTTTTTATTTTTTATATATATAAATCATATTGATATTAATTGCAGTCTAAAGTGACTTAAATTATATACATTTGAGTTATAAAACTCACATTAGTCTATTGGTTAGGAGCTTTGATTATCAACCCAAAGTTCTTGAATTCGAAGCTTGTGTTTGTGTTGTGTGTTTAGTTTGTCTTAACTGACCCAAATGTCCAAAAAAAAAAAAAATCTTTTGATTTGAGCTCAATTACACTCCCAATCAATTTATTTTCATATTATATAAAATAGAAATGATAAACTCAGTAAATAAAAAGAAAATTCATTGCCGAATAATACATAATCTAACTGCATTTAATTGATACATTGATTTCGCACCATTAATTTGACAGTTTCCAATTTCAACTTGTTATTTTTAAAATTTATATATATGTGATATTAACTTCATATTTCTTCAGACTGCATTTCTAGTTTTCTACCATTAAAGAACCCAACAACGAGAATTGGGGGTGAAAGGGTTGCGAATAGGGCAAATTATTTTGTCCGGTGTCCGGATTCGTCCGGACACCAATAAAAACGCGCCACATCACTCAAAAATAATGGGGCCCAGTGCATTCGGGTGAGGTGGCGTGTCCGGATTGGATGTCCGCATGTCAGATGACCGGACGCAATAATTTGCCTGGGAATAGAGGCGCAAAAGAGAGGATTTAGAATAATTTTATATCTCATATATAATTGTGTTAAAAGTTTAGAGCAGATTTAATATGTTTCTATTTTTATATATCATATACTTTTTTTTTAGATAAATATAATTTTAATAAAAAATATTCAATTTATGCACTTTTGAAATTTTGAGATTTAATTAGGGGTATATTTATAAATCATATACTTTTGAAAGTTAAGTATATGATTTAAAAAATATTGTTGGGATTTTTTTAATAACTAATTTGTACCCAATTTAAAAAAATTCACGACTTCAACAACCTGACCCCAACTCTTTATCTATTTCGGGATAGAGAAGTTCTGAAGTTGTGATATGTTATATTTAAAAAACCTAATTCATGTGTTTAATTTAATTATTTTCTTATTAAAAATTTATAAATAAACGAAAATATTTATAATCATTTTAAAATCAAGATATTAAATCTTGAAGGTATTTCTGTTCATAAAATTTTAATTTTGGCATAAAATGTTAGTAAAAAAAGTTTATTTATGATAATTTAACGATATTTATAAAAATTATTGAGACTAATGATGGCGCATAAAAGTATAATTTTGTCAAACTTTAATTAAAAAAATGATTACATTTACAGTCATTTTAAAATGCAAATATGAAATTTTAAGAATATTTGTTCTAAAAATTGAAGGTATTCGCCCCCATAATATAAGACAAATAGCAGCGATTTTGATGCAGAGCATCTTTGCTTAGCGTTATCTGGAAGAGCAACTTACCCTCTATATGCACCATTTCTTTTAGGGCATCTCCAACCGAAAATCTCATTTTTCACTCCAAAATGTCGTGAAACTAAAAAATGCCGTGATTCATCTCCAATCGAACACTATTTTATCCCGTAACGGTCGTTCGGTAGAGACCAAAAATTGACGAAGATGAACAGTGCAATGCCAATATTGACGTCGCAGTCGCACTGTTCATCCGCGATGAAATGACGTAAGAATTGCCGGTTGGTTGGAGCGACCGAAAAACGGCAAACAATTATTTGTCGTTCCATTGGACATGCTCTTATAGAGTTGGAGTTCCACTATCTTACTGCTATATTTAGTATCATAGTACTTTTCATACATTTTTACTTGTTTAGCTTTTATAAGCATAGATGAAAGAAGTTACCATATACTTGGCAGAAACCTGTAGGGAAGGGATCATCTTCCTTCTTGCAGGTTCGTCTACACCAGATTTAAATAGCTACTGTTTTGAAGTTATTATGAGGATTTAAACAGCTACAAATATGAAAGGCTTGCAATGATTTTAACTTATGTAAAATTTATAATTTTCTTAAACAAGTCAATAGCAATTATAAATTGATTGGTGGAATATGATAAACCTCTTGAATTAATATAGAGTTGTAAAAATATAAAATAGTTGACTGATATTGAACTTTAGATCAATCACAAAGCTATATTTAGTAACTCGGTGCCTGATTTAGGAAAACCTTTGAATCTCCTCTAAGACATTTCTATGATTTATAAAACAAATAGCTAGCAGAACAAGCAAGTTGCACATTGCAAAAACCTGTTACATTTGAAAGCTTAGAAACAATCTCTTGTACGACTGATAACAAAATAAAATTCTGATGTAAATTTAGCTCAGTTGGTGGATGCACAAATGATCAATAGAATGATAGGTTGAGATTTGGCTTTAAAATGTAACATATATATTTGATTTGATGTCTGTTGCTTTATTTTCTTTCTTTCTTTCTTCTTCTTCTTTTATTTTTTGGTTGTTGTTAGAGGTGTCAAAATGGGTTTTTGGGTCGGGTTTGGGTCCAACCCGAAAATTACCCCCCTTAATTTGACCTGACCTGATTAGCAAATGGGTCAGAAATCCAGACCTGAATCTGACCGGCCCCTAAGCCGGGTTGACCCGACCTTACCCCCTTACCCCCTTACCCACAAGGCAGCGAGGTGAGAGTGAATGCGGACGCGTATGGGCAAAGGGGGCGAGCACCTACGGGTTTGACCTACTCCCTCATAAGTGTTATGATTAGGTGGTCATCATTTCATTTATTAACTCGCAAACCATTTATACTTAGCTTCTTTGTCATAGATGTTATCACATTTGTTGGAGTTGTCTCGAATTTGAATCGTCTCTTTATTTGTTTGTATTCTTGATTCTCGTATGCTTCACATATATGTTAGGGGTCCAAGGGGGTAGCTCCCCTTTGCGGGGTTTAACTTGCTCGCCTGTGATTTTTCCCATATTTGAGTTTTTCACATAAATCACTTGTATTCATTTGTGTTTTGTAGATTGTGATTTATTATTTCTCTTTGTGTTTGATTCATTGTTCCCTAACAAACTGGTATTAGAGATTTCAGTTAGGGTTCTTAGAGATCATCTCAGATCTTTTGGCAACGATGAAGTTCGACATGAAGAAGCTTGATCGATCTTCATGATTTGTATTATTACAAGTAAAGACGAGGGCGATTCTCATCCAACTTGAACTAGACGATACTTTCGAGGGGAAAGCAAATATTTTCGAAACCCAAACTGATCAGGGGAAGGAGTAAAAGGATAAGAATGCAAGATTAAAAAAAAAAGGATAAGAAGGCAAGATCGCATATTCTATTGCTTCTTTCAAATGAGATCTTACAAGATTTCTTGAAAGAAACCACCACTATGGCTTTGTGGCTAAAGTTGGAATCGATTTGCAGTACAAAGAGTCTATCGACAAAGCTCTATTTGAAGCAAAGGTTCTATTCTCATCGTATGACAGAAGGTAAGAATGTTCACACAAATTTAGATGAATTCAAGAGTATTATTACGGATCTTGAAATGATAAAAGTTGAATATGATGATGAAGATTTGGCCTTATTGTTGCCATGGTCTTTGTCATCCTCCTACAAGAACTTTCGGGATTCAATATTGTATGGACATGAATCTATTTCGGTTGAGGATGTTAT